GTCCAACATCTATAAAGAACTTTGGGTCATTGTCTTGAGTTTTTAGTTTTTTCAAATGGGCAAAAGATCTGAACAGATGCTTCACAAAAGAAGATATACAGATAGTAAATAAGCATATGAAAAGATGCATAATTATATGTCACTAGGAAATTGAAAATTAACAATGAGATACCACTATATACCTATTAGAATGGCTAAAATTTGAAAACCTAACAATACAAAATGATGGCAAGATGCAGAGCAACAGGAACTTTCATTCATTGTTGATGAGGCTTCAAAATGGTGCAGCCACCTTGGAAGACAGGCAGTTTCTTACAAAGCTAAACAAAAATTTATCATTTAATCAGCAATCACACTCCTAGGTATTTACCCAAATGAGTAGAAAATTATATGTACACAAAAACCTACACACAAATATTTATAGCAGAATTATTCATAATCACTCAAACTGGAAGCAACCAAGATGTTCTGCAGTAGGTGAACAGATAAACTGGTACATTCATGCAATGGAATGTTATTCAACAATAAAAAGCAATAAGCTATCATGCCATGAAAAGACTTGGAAGAAGCTTAAAATACATATTGCTAAGTAAAAGAAGTCAGTCTGAGCAGTTACAAAGTATACGATTCCATCCATATGACATTCTGGAAATGACAAAACTGTAAAGACATTAAAAAGATCAGTGGTTGCCAGAGGATCATGAAGATGAGGGAAAGGATGAATAGGTGAAGCACGGGTGATTTTTAGAGCAGTAAACTATTCTATGTAATACCGTAATGGTGGCTACATGACACCTTGCATTTGGCAAAACCCATAGTATAAACTGTATGAAGAGTGAATTTTGATGTGAACTATAGACTTTAGTAAATAATAATCAATATTGGTTCATTAATTGTAGCAAATATACCACACCAATGAAAGATGTTAACAGTAGAGGGAAGTGTGTGTGTGTGTCTGTATGTATATAGTAACTCTCTGTGCTACTTGCTCTTGTTCTAAATGAAAATTTAAAAGGGGAGATAAGCAAATATTGAGGTGTTGAGATAATGCATGTGCAAAACCGAAATATTTTACAGGATGTAACAAAGTAATTACAAAATAGTTTAAAAGGCCAAAAACCCCAATAGTAAATATAATCAGTGGTTGAGGAGTGATAGCTTTTTCTCTGAGATGAGAATGAAACAAAAATGTCTTTCATTGCCAGTTCTGTTCGTAATTGTACTAGAGGAGATCATAGCCACCGCAATAAGGCATGAAAAAGAAATAGAAAGCATAATCATTGGGAAGGAAGAAAATTGTCATTCACAGGTGAACTGATTTTGTATGTAGAAAATTATTAGAATGAATAAATGGATTTTAAATGTTACTAGATACAAGGTCAATATATGAAAATTATATCTCTATACTAGCAACAATTTAAAAGACTCCATTTTAATAGTAACAACATCAAATAACCAGGAAAAAAATATAACTAAAGATGAGCAAGGTGTCTATATGGAAAACTACAGAAATTACTGTGAGAACTTAAAGAATACCTAAATAAATAGTGTAACATATCATGTTTCCAGATTGGAAGACTTAACATCATAAAAATCTCAGTTCTTCCCAAACTTTCTATAAATTCAATGCAATCTCAGTAAACAGTTCAGAAAGTTTTCTTGTAAAAGTTGAGACTGACTCTAAAACTTAAATGGAAAGTAAAATGTTCAAGAATACCAAGGTAATCTTGATGAAGAACAAAGCTATAAACAAAGATTTACGTTACTAGACATTGAGACTTATTATAAAGCTTCATAATTAAAACAGGGTCTTACAGGCACAATGGTAGACTAATGGAACAGAATACAAACTCCAGAAGTACGTCCAACCCCTGTATATCTTTAAAACCAGGGTGTCATTGCAATGCTCGCCTCATGAAGGTGAGGTTATCACATTTGAGATAGGAAGCAATTTCCAGGAAAAAATGTTTTGGAGGGGTCAGAACTCAGTTTGCCACTCCTTTAGCTATCTCTGTTTCTTTTGCCAGATCCCAAGCTGTGTCATTCAGGGATTTAATTTTATTCATTGGAATATGAGCCAGGAATTGGCTTAGGCTTCAGTTTGGCAGTTTGGAGTGTCACCATACCTATGTGTGCAAATTCAAGTACATTCAGTTTAAAAGGCAGGGGAAGAGGGGAAATAATGTAAATACTTTAGGCAATCTACTTTTTCCTTCAGTAACCATAAAATTGGGTGGTAAGCATGAGATGTGAATTTCTGTTCCACCTATTGGTTCCTGCATGTGTCTCAGTGTGTGAGCATCTTGCTTCACTTAGTATGATTCTAGTTTTTCCTAAACAGCATGCTCACTAAATGAAAACTACTTCATCTAATGTTAACAGTTGAAGAAATAGCATTGTAAACCTAACTGAGGAAACTGAGGCAAGATTAATATAGAGAGTTTATTTGGGCCAAGGTTTAGGACTGCAGCTCAGGAAACTCTGGAAAGTGCTTCCAAGAACAAACGAGAGGATTGAGTTTTTAACGGAAAAAAAGGACGAATCAGGAGAGGGGCAATTGATTACAAAGGTTGTTTTTCAGGAATTCTTATTGGTTTACAGATATGACATTGATAAGTGATTGGCTGTACATTGTTGAAGTATAGGGTATGAGTATGGTGTCCAGTGTATGGCGTTGTTAGGTTAATTTATGGCTATGGCGTCAGTCTGTCTAGAGCCCACATAGCAAGTAGCTTCAAGAAGCGATTACTAGCTGGGAGTGGTGGCACGCGGCCTGCAATCCCAGATACTTGGGGCAAGAGGATTGCTGGAGCCCAGGAATTTGAGTGCAGCCTGGGCAACATACTGAGAACTCATCTCTTAAAAAAAAAAAGTACTTAGCTCCAAGAGGAGAGAGATGTGACTGCTGTCACATTTCAGTGCTTCTCTGGGCCTGATAATTTAAAAGGACTTGCATTCCTCAGATACAAAGTTTCAGCCCCACCCCTCACCCCGCCCTGTTTGTGGAAAAACTGTCTTCCATGAAACTTAGGAAGGTGGGCAGGGAGGGAGGTGGGTGTGGCACACACCAGTAAATGAGTGAAGGGTGGAGCAAGTGAAGCTTCCATGAAACTCGTCCCTAGTGCCAAAAAGGTTGGGAACTGCTGATCTAGTCCAATTCTGAGGGAAAAATGACCATGTTAAAGTTTCTAAGGCAATATATGTTGTGGTCATGGGCTTGGGCTCTTGAGCCAGACTACCTGGGTTCAAATCCTAGCTCCACCATTACTGTCAGTGTGGCCTGGGCAGGTTACTTAACCTCTCTGTGCTCAGTGTCTTTATCTGTAAAATGGAGCTAGTAAAAGCACACACCTCATAGTGTTGTTGTGACAATTAAATGACTAACATATTAACCCTGCCTGGCACAGAGTGCATAATCAACTATTTTTATTATTATCAGTATTATTACTGAGAGGTGATAGACCATGTGGTTCTCCAAGGTGGTACATTCTTAAGGGATTTTCAAGTGAAACTTACCTAACTCCTTTGTCACCTTCAGCTTAGACTTTAGAACCCAACCGCCACACGAAACTCATTCTGCTGTACCAGACTAGTTTCTCTCTCTTTGATGTTTGGTTTTTTTGGTTTTTTTTTAGGAAGTTGACAGTTGGTTGTGGAATGGTCATATGGCACAGAACACAGATATTGCGGGCAGGAGAGCCTGTGGGTTTGGCAAGATGTATTTCCATAGAGGAAATATAGATGTATAGATACCCTGAAATGTGTTTAATGTATATATTTAAGTACACATATTAATATTTCGGCCACCAGCAGTTCCCTGTGTACGAAGATCCTTTAAGTCTTTTAAGGTCATTGCAGCTCTTGTTATGTTTCTATCCTTTGCTTTTCACTAGAAAATGATTGCAGCCTATGCTGTCGGGTGGCAGGTGTGTGGTCACTAGTCCCATGGTGCTGTGTGTGGGTGTGTTATTGTAAGAGTCAGCACTCTGGTGTTTTATGGTTCTCCTATTCTTCCCTTCTCCAATTCTTCTCACCACTAATTGTTACCTTTGAAGAATTTTGAGGAACTTTATAAGTGGCTGTTTGCCACCTCACCCCTCTTACCCTTCCACACACAGAGGCACATACCCTCTTATTTACCTTGCAGGACTACCAGAATTGAGACACTGTTCTTGTCCTGACCTCAGCCTCAGAAGCTACCCTTCTTCTCACAGAAAAGCTGCTCTTCGTTTTCAGCTATCACTCCACAGCCCTGAGGCCACACAGCTATTTTCTGGCTACCCTGCCATCAGCAACTCCTTTCCTGCCAGGATGTCAGGGCCTCACTAGACCTCTGCATGCTGGTGGCTACTGCTTCCTCTACGAGGCATTACTGATGGCAACCAAGTTTTTGTTTGCTGCTTTCTGCTTTTCTTTTTTCCCCATCTTTCTCATCTTTCTTGGCTTTTTGTTTAGGAAAAACTGGTCACTTATAGACCTTACCGCTAATGAATGCCATCTTTCTGTTAGGTGAACAAACGCATCAAACCAAATGGGCTTCATCACAAAGCTTTTTTTGGCCTTGTTATTTGACTCTCAGGCATCTGAGCCTGTTTGGTGCATCTGCCACCAAAGGAAGGGGTTTTTGCTGTGTATGGGGACATTAAAATTAGAAGGATTTAACTGTTACCAGGCTGGGTGCCTGGGAGATCAGAGAGTTGGTCTTCGAATAGAACTAGTTATGATCTACTTTGCCATATCCATTTCTTAGGACAAGGAAAATAAAAGTTTAATGAGTTCTGTTATGAGAAAATTTCTATAGTGTGTCTAAAACACATTCTGAAAGTTCAGACATTTAATATTTCACAATAGTTATGTAAAATTATAGTACACTTGTGTATTGCAAATTGAGGAATCGTGATAAAACTTACATATCCAGGTGGTGCGTTAGATCTTCCAAGTTATTATTATCCTAAAATTTTAACACCAATCTCTTTTGTGTTTTTTCTTTTTCTTCATAGAATATTTTCCTTCTTGGATATTGTAACTTTGTGCCGATGTGCACAGATTTCCAAGGTATAGTATTCACTAGATTTTTAATCATTAAATATCGTTTTGTTAGAATGAGGATGAGTTTTAGTTCAAATAAACCATTAAAAATTAAAATCTAATTCTCTTTTAATATAACCCAAATGTTATCATAATTCTACATTTTTTGTTGATATACATCAAGAATAAAAGCTTGGAAATACGTACAAAGGTTGAATCAAGACTTTCTTTAATGGTCTCAGTAAGTGTATCTCACCTCAATTCCTCTTCCTTTACCTCCCACCTCCCAGGCTTGGAACATCTTAGCCCTGGATGGAAGCAACTGGCAAAGAATAGATCTTTTTAACTTTCAAACAGATGTAGAGGTAAGTTAGCTTTGACTTAGACAGAAGACTTTAAGCGATAAATAACTGTTTGCCCTTTCCTGCCTTCTCATTTTGTTGCATTTAGATTTAATGTCAAGTGCCAAGGTGGAACAGAGAAAAGAAAACTGGAAGATATTTGCATATGTTAATACCAAAATTCTGCTTGTATTTTACTTTTGCTGTGCATCAGTAACTGATTACTTTTCCCTCTTGTTCGTGTCTGTAGTCTGAGTTTTGCCACTTGGCTTCTTAAAGCCTTACACCTGCATCATTAATACCTGGTTCAGTACTTTAACCTTAGGAAACTTGACAAATATTTATTGATACGAAAGATCCACTGAGAATTCTAATTCAGCATGAAGAATGGTGAAATGGCATAAAGCATGGGCCCAAGAGTGGGGCTGGAGATCTGATATGTCACCCCACCTCAAGCACTTAGGCCATATAATCTCTCAGTGCTTCCATTTTATTATCTTTAAAATAGATAATCTTTAAAGGCTTTCATAATTCCAAGAATCTGGTGTATTTATCTGTAAATATGTAAATGTCTCTGTTTAAATATGGTAAACCTGACCAAATGAGGAAAGTTTATTTTATAGTAACTTAATATTCAATACCAAATTTTTTACCAAAAAGAGAGGGAGCAGCCAGGTAATATAGGGCATTGCACATAGTAATTGTCCAGAGTGCCAGTTTGAGGGTCTTGAGATTCTGAAGTTTATTATCTACCCAATGTTAGTAGGGTAGATAATAAACCTTATTCATTTCCAGTTTAGCCAGCTTAGGTACAGTAGTGGAATTGCATTTTAATTCAGTTACGTAGTGTGTTCCCCAAGTATTTTTACCAAGGTATATGTTTTATATCTTTTTTTAATGGCTAAGGAGGTGAATATATGTAACAAGAAGATGAGTCCACGCTAGCCACTTAACCTGGTGTTACCTAGACAAACTAATGGTCAGTTGTGGAGGCCCTTCACCTCCTTCGCTAGGTTACTTACCTCTTGAGAGCCGCTGGTCCCCATGTTAAACCAGCGGAGCAGATCACTTACGGTACGTGGGGTGGAGCACAGGATTTCCCGCAGTCGGTGTTGGGAAACCATTCATTTCTGTCACATTGTGGTGCTTCAAGCTTGGAAGGGGGCAGGAACCTTAGAGTTTCATGCCCATCCTGAAAAGGTAAGCTCCAGTTCCTGCCTTAGACCAAGGTCTCTGAATTAAATGTTCTTTAATGTCCTTTCCAGATTTGATAGCAAAAACATGCTAGCATTCCATACCAGCCAATGTAATTCCCCTTCAAACAGATAATCTCTAAATCTTTGTTCGTTATTTTTGCTTAATGATATTGAGGAAGACCTTAATTTCTAAAAATTATTGTCATTTCTACTGGCCAAAAGAGTCAGTGTTTTGAAAAAATTTGGCAAAATATTTTCTCTTTTTCTGTGGTTCTTAATGTCTCCTCAGTTTCGATGATTTTTCCAAATCATGCAACTTTTTGGAAAGCATGATAAGAACTTTTAAATTCAGATATTAAAAAAATAATATTTCAAGTAAGTATCACTACCTTGTATATTATTCGATTAAGGAATTTTAGCTGACTGCTGACTTTCAGCTAATGGCTGTATGTACATATTGCAGAAAGACTTAGGAGTATATCCACTAAAAGGAGAGACTAATTGATGGTTCACCAGTCATGTACAGAATTACATGTGAACACCTGAAATTGCTGGCACCAGAGTTTCACTCAAGTTTCATACTGGTTAGTTGTCCTTTTGGGCTAGCACCTTGAGTCTAGGTTGGGTTATAAACCAAGTCTTGGGGCCTCCCACAGCAGCCTTTAAACAGAATCCTTTGGAAACATTCCATGGATAAACAGATGGTGTTAAAGACATGTCCTCTGGGAAGGAAATGTTGATTTACTGATAGAAGAGAGAAGGTGCCAAGGATAAGGACTAACACACTTATAGCATTTACTGGGTGCCAGGCACTATTCTAAGCACTTTGTATAAATACATTTAATTATCTCAAAAACACCATATTGAAGAAACTGAGGCACAGAAACGGTTGAGAAACTTACCCAAGGGCACTCACCTACAAAGAGGAGAGTGTAGGTACCTTTAATGGTGTGGGTTGCACAATGGGTACTATTCAAAGAAAACAAAAAGGCAGAATAAAGCATCTAGGTGGCCAGTGCCCATGGGGCCTTTCCTTCAACATCACTCTTTCTGAATATATGTGGCTTCCCTGAGGTTTTGCCACATTCCATGCCTTTAAAAGTTGGACATTTGTTGTCAGTGTCTTCACGGTTATTAAATATTGTGCTAGGCCAAAAATGAGAAATAACCAAGTAGTATGTTAATCTAAACTTCATAACTCCAAAGGTCTTTTAAGCCCATATTAAGGCTTAATTTTCCCTAAAGCCCTCTATTCTAAAATACATACCTGCAATATATTGCCTAGTAGATAAGATACAGAGTCATTGGCTTGAATATTGTATTTGGAATGGATTTGCTCTTTTTCTTCTTCTTAGTTGGAAATAGTGGAGCAGAAAATTGTGTATGTAATTTTTTTTATTCCAGTACAAGAACTTTTGCTCCAAAGAAAGGAAGAGTAGAAAGTTTATATAAATGTTACCAACTTGAAGAAAAGTATATCAGGTGCTACATTTGTAGACATTGATATGGAGGGGGGTTTTTGCTCTTTATTAGGTACTTAAATACTTATCTTAGATTTCCAAGCCATAATCTTTTTTTCCCTTAGTGACAATGATTTATTTTATAGTTGTCTGGAATTTTGCTTCAAAAAATAATTATACACTTAGTCTCAAAGCATAATTAAATGTTAGCAGTATCAAGGTTTGGATTTTCAAACTTAATTTTTTTTTTTTTTTTTGAGGCAGAATCTTGCTCTGTTGCCCAGGCTAGAGTACAGTGGTGTGATCATAGCTCACTGCAACTTTCAACACCTGGGCTCAAGCGATCCTCCCACCTCAGTCTCCCAAAGTGTTGGGATTACAGGCATGAGCCACTGTGCCCAGCTGGATTTTCAATTTAATTAAAATGTTAGCCAGGTAACAATGTGTTAGCCCCATCTTGCAACCCTATGATTTGATATATCCTAGTGAATTCATAGTGCTCACAGTTCAGTGTTTTATAAAGTGAGGACAGGCTGGGCTTGGTGGCTCACACCCTATAATCCTAGCACTTTGGGAGGCTGAGGTGGGAGAACCACTTGAGGCCAGGAGTTCGAGACCAGCCCGAGCAGCATAGTGAGATCCTGTCTCTACAAAAAATTTAGAAATTAGCCAGGTGTAATGATGTGCACCTGTAGTCCCAGCTGTTTGGGAGACTGAGATGGGAGGCTCACTTGAGCCCAGGAGTTCAAGGTTGCAGTGAGCTATGATGCCACTGTACTACAGCCTGGGCAACAGAACAAGACCCTATTTCTAAAAAAAATAAAAAATAAAAAAATAAAGTGAGGATAGTAGTATTCAAAATAAAATGGCCATTTTTAACTTTTCCTCCCTTGTGGGGGTAAAGAGGTCATAGCTGATATTTTTAACTACTTTCTTCTACTACCTATTCTATATTCCCTTTGCTTTCAGCAAGCACCTCAGCTAGTCATGGTTCTTTACTTGGTGGAGTGACCTAGACCATCATTCCTGAAGTGTCTGGGCTATTAATAGTCCTGCCTGGATTGGTTTGCTGTAGATTGCCATTGACCTTAACAACAGGGTATAGTAATACTAAGGGACGCCAAAGGGTCTCCTGTATTCCAGAAATACTCTTTCTTACCTCCACTGTGGAGTGTCCATGAGATTTTTGTGACTATTAAATGATCTGTAGTAGGTACAAGAAAGTGTCAAAATCATTCCTGACAAAGGGAAATGTTTAAATCAATGTTCCTTTTCTTTTTACCTCCTCTAATATCTTTGCCAGTACTCATGAAAAGTTCCTCTTTCAAAGCAAATGTGTTTAAATAGGGGACTACTAAGGAGGATGGAAGGGGAGCTTTTTTCATACTTTTAGAGTGGTACTGTTTGGCTAAAGTAGGGTTTTCTTTTTTAAGCAACATTGTTTTAGATCCCTGCTCAGTGGCCAGTGTTCCCATAGCTGACCTCACAGATCCTTATGATTGGTGGATTAGCTGTGAGCCTTGGGTTGGGGAGACCTGGTCCTAGGGCTAAGGCTTTCAAAAGGCAGTGCGCTGTTTTTTTAAAGGAAAACCTAATGCTTTAATTGAAAACATTTTTCAATGTTTGCCGCCCCATTTATGCATTAGGGATAAAACTGAGGTGCTGGAGGAATGTTCTAAAACATCTTCTGTTACACTTGGAAAAATATATTCAGTTCCCAAATTTCAGGTATTTTGCTGTTAGATAAGCAGCATGAAAAAAATGATATTTTTTCCAACTTTCTTGATTAAAGGGTCGAGTGGTGGAAAATATCTCGAAGCGATGTGGTGGATTCCTGAGGAAGCTCAGCTTGCGAGGCTGCATTGGTGTTGGGGATTCTTCCTTGAAGTAAGTCAAATCCACAGGAACTCACTCCGTCGTGGCAGCTTGTAGCTGACATTTTCATTCAGCAAAAATAAACCAAGTATATTATATCCTTTTCTTCTGTTAGATTCGTTCTACAGAAATTTTCATGGAGTAATGAGAGACCCATGACTTTGGAGTAGCAGGCCTAGGTTGGAAACCAAGCTACACTGTTGGTAGGGATGTGACCTTGGGACAAATTATTTCACCTGGCTGAGTATCAGTTCTCTCTTTGGCAAAGTGAGGGCAGTTACAGCTCCTGCATAGGAGTGTCATAGGCATCACATGAAATCTTTTATTAAAAGTATTTGTTCTGCCGGGCGCGGTGGCTCACGCCTGTAATCCTAGCTCTCTGGGAGGCCGAGGCGGGCGGATTGTTTGAGCTCAGGAGTTCGAAACCAGCCTGAGCAAGAGCGAGACCCTATCTCTACTAAAATTAGAAAGAAATTAATCGGACAACTAAAAATATATAGAAAAAAAAAAATTAGCCAGGCATGGTGACGCGTGCCTGTAGTCCCAGCTACTTGGGAGGCTGAGGCAGAAGGATCGCCTGAGCCCAGGAGTGTGAGGTTGCTGTGAGCTAGGCTGACGCCACGGCACTCACTCTAGCCGGGGCAAAAGAGTGACACTGTCTCAAAAAAAAAAAAAAAAAAAAAGATTTGTTCTGTAAAATTTGGATTCAGTCAAAAGGCCACACTCAAGGATCTAGAAGGCCACATGTGGCCCTGAGGCTGCAGGTTCCCCAACCCTGTAGCCCATAATAATATTATAATATTTTTTAACCTCTCTTCTGTTCCCTTCTTCACTTCTCTATCTTCCTAGTTTTCTTCTCATAATATTAGCCATCTTTTTATATCAATTATACTAATTGATAAAATAATTCTTACAAAAATTGTCTTAGCATAAGCTGGAATTTTGCTTACTTATAATGGGGTATGATATTATGTTCATTTCATTATCATTAGCAACATATCCTATCCGATCAAATGCATGCCCACCTCTTACTGGATAGCCATTATTTATTGGAAATGTTATCAAACCACTGTTAAGGACATGTGCTTTGAGGTTTTCTGGAGACAAACATGATTAGAACCTCCATGTCCTTATCCTCATGGTCTCTAGTTTTGCTTCTGAGGCTGGCTAAATTAGGACACGCACCCCAGAACAGACTTGGAACAGACTTTGTATTCTTGCAGACTTAGTATCACCGCAGTGTACATCAGTCGCAGACCACCAGTAATGTGCAGTATATAGAGAATGCAGACAGTATAATTTGTAATTCAAACATCTGGTACACCATTACTAACAAAATTGATTCACAATGTATTTTAAGGATAAGAACACTCACATTAAATGTTATGGAACAAAGTGATTTTTTTTAAAATCAAGAAATTCAGGCCATTACATCAGATTTTCTGCTGTTTCAAAAGCTTTGTAAACCAGTGGAATGGACTGATTCTATCTTAACAGGAAGCTTAAATGTTCCGATAGGTCCTAAGATATTTTAAAATAGAGAACATAAATCTAATAATGGTTCCATTAAAGAAACTAAAATAAATGTGAATTGGATTGTTGATGAGGGATATTAAAGAAATACATTCTTATCTTGGCATTTGGAATAAAGTCATATCCACTAGCAAAACTATCGGATGAGGCTAAGACTGTTTATTGGTTTACTCTGAGTTTTAGAACAAAAATATACATTCATTGGTAAGATATCTATACATTTTTATATAGATTACACTGAGAAATAATGGTAAGCATAATCACAATATCATGACTCAGGAGAATTTTGTTACCCCTTCAGTTTGTTTATCGTAATCGCCTAGAACCAGCCTTGGCCTCTACTCTGCCCCCAAGTTTGTGTGGTCGTGGTTTTGGTGGGAGGGGCTTGTTCATTTACAAATGATTGTTGAGTCCCTACTATGCCAGACACCGATTTAGGCAATGGAGACACATTAGTAAACAAAATAGATGAAAACTCAGTACTAATGGACCTTGTGTGTACATTCTCCATAACTCCTGCTCCTTTATTATATAGAAGTCCTATGGATTTTTGACAGCTTTATTGAGATATATTTGAGATAAAATAAGCTGCATATATTTAAAGTGTATAATTTAATAAGTTTTGACATATGTATACACTTGTGAAACCAACACCACAATCAAGATAATGAACATATCCATGTCCCACAAAAGTTTTATCATGTGTTTGTGTAATCCCTCCTTCCCACCCCTGCTCCATCCCCAGGCAACCACTAATCTGCTTTCTGTCATATAGGTTAGTTTGCATTTTCTAAAATTTTATATAAATACAGTTATACAGCATATATTTCTTTTTTGCCTGGCTTCTTTCTCTTGACTAATTGGCTTGAGATTCATCCATGTCTTGTATATCAGTAGCTCATTCCTTTTTATTGCTGAGTAATAGTCCATTATATCAGTATACTACAGTATATTTATTAATTCATCTGTTTATGGGCATTTGGATTCTTTCCAGTTTGGGGCTATTACAAATAAAGCTGCTATGAACATTTGCATACCAGTCTTTGTATGACATGCATTTTCATTTCTTCTGGGTAAATACCTAGGAGTGGAATGACTTGATCGTTTAGTAGGTACGTGTTTAACTTTTTAAGAAACTTCCACACCGTTTCCCAAAGAGATTGTACCATTTTATGTACTTATTTGCTATCCCTGTATCTTCCTTGGTGAAATTTCTGTTCTAATCTTTTGCCCATTTTTTTTGTTAGATTTTTGTCTTACCATTAGCTTTTCAAAGTTCTTAATATGTTCTGGATACCAGCTCTTTATGAAATATGTGCTTTGCTAATATTTCTTCTCAGTCTATGGCTTATCTTTTCACTCTCTTAACTGTCTTTTTGAAATAAAGTTTGTAACTTTAATGAAGGTCAATTTGTCAGTTTTTTTCTTTTATGAATCATGCATTTGGTGTCATAAGACATCATTGCCTAACTCAAGGTCATAAATTTTTTCCTTGTGTTTTCCTCAAGAAGTTTTGTAGTTTAGATCTATGATCTATTTTGAGTTGATTTTTATATATGATGTAAGGTATAGATTGAAGTTCATTTTTTTGCCTATGGATACCCAGTTGTTCTAACACCATTTATTGAAACAACCACCCTTTCTCCACTGAATTGCCTTTGCACCTTTGTTGAAAATCAGTTTTCCATAGACATGTGGGACTATTTTTGTACCTCTGTAGTTTTCATTGATGTACAAATAAATCAGCTTGTCAATTTTTACAAAACAGCCTGCAGGGGTCTTGATTAGGATGGCTTTGAATCCGTAGATCAATTTGGAGAGAATTGACATCTTAACACTGTTAAATCTTCCAACCTATGAATGTGGTGTATCTTTCCATTTATTTAGGTGTTTTGAAATTTCTCTCACATGTTTTGTAGTTTTCAGTATACAGGTTGTACACATCTTTTGTGATATTTATCCTCAAGTATTTTGAAATGCTGTTGTAAATGGTATTATTTTTCATTTTAATTTTTAATTGTTCATTGCTGGTAAATGGAAATACTATTGATTTTTGTACATTGATCTTTTATCTTGAAACCTTGGTAAACTCACTAGTTCTAGCAGCTTTTTTGTTAATTCCTTTGGATTTTCTACATAGATAATCACATCACTTGTAAATGATGATCATTTTTCTTTGTTTCCAGTTGATGCCTTTTATTTCTTATCTTGCCTGATTGTACTGGCCAGAATCTCTAGTACAATGTTGAATAGAAGTGGTGAAAGCAGATATCTTAGCTAAGTTCTCCGTTATAGAGGGAATGTATTCAAGTATGATGTTAGCTATAGGTTTTTTGTAGATGATCATCAAATTGAAGAGGTTTCCTTCTATTCCTAGTTGGCTGACAATTTTTCTTTTAAATTGGGAATGGACATTAGATTTTGTCAAATCCTTTTTAAACTCCATCTGTTAATATATAGATGATCATATGGTTTTTCCTTTTTAGTTTGTTAGTATGGTGAATTACATTGGCTCATTTTTTAAATGTTAAACCAACCTTTCATCCCTCAGATAAACCCTATTTGAGTTGTCATGTACTGTATATTTTATATTTATTGGATCCTATTTGCTAAAATTTTGTTCAAATTTTTTGCATCTATTTTCATGAGGAATATTCTGTGATTTTCTTTTCTTGTAATGTTTTTGTTTGGTTTAGGTGTCAAGGTAATACTGACCTCATAGAATGAATTGGGAAGTATTTCTTCCTCTTCAAATTTCTAGAAGAGTTAATATAGAATTAGTAATTTTTTTCTTAAATGTTTGGTAGAATTTATCAGTGAGGACATCTGGCCTGCATGTTTCTTTTGGAGAAGATTTTAAACTACAGATTCAATTTCTTTGATAGTACAGAACTCTTCCGATTATTTCTTTTTGAATAACTTTTGGTAGCTTGTGTCTTTCATGGAATTTGTACATTTCATTAAGTTCTTGAACTTATTGGCATAAAGTTGTTTATAATATCCTCTTATTATCATTTTACTATCTGTAAAATCTATAATTATATCTCCTCTCTCAGTCCCAAAATTGGTAATTTTTCTCTTTTTTTTTTTTCCTGGTCAGTCTGGCTAGAGGTTTATTAATTTTATTGATATTCTCAAAGAACCAGGTTTTATCTTCACTCATTTTTCATTGTTTTTCTGTTTTCTACTTCATTGATTTCTGTCCGCATCTTTTTTATTTCCTCTCTTTTATTTACTTTGGGCTTCATTTGGTCTTTTGGTTTTTCCCGGTTTCTTAAGATGGAAGCTGAAGTCATTGACTTGAGATCTTTTTTTCTTTAGTAATATAGGAGTATAATTCTATAAATTTCCCCTAAAGTACTGACTTAGTAGCATTTCAAAAATTCTGATATAGTGTATTTTCATTTTCATTCAGTTCAAAATGTATTCTAATTTCCCTTTTGATTTCTTCCATGATCCATGGGTTGTTTAAAAGTATATTATTTAGTTTCTAAATATTTGGGCATTTTCCAGAAGAACATGTTATTTCTAATATATTAATAATTCCACTGTGATCATAGCACATAGTTTGTATGACTGGAATCCTTTTAATTTTGTTGAGACTTGGTTTTGTGGCCAAAAATATGGTCTGTCTTGGTAAATGCACCATGTGCACTTGAGGAGAATGTGTATTCTGCTCTTGGGTGAAGTGTGCTGTAAGGCCAATTAGGTCAAGTTGGTTAATAGTGTTAAGCACATCATCTGTAACCTTCCTAATTTTTGACTACTTTTTTGATCAACTTATGAGAGAGGAGTAGTAAAATCTTCCTATAATTTTGTATTTATTTCTTTTTGTAGTTCTGTCAGTTTTTGCTTCATGTATTTTGAAGTTCTATTATTAGGTATATAAACATTTGGGATTGTTATGTCTTTGTGATGAATTGGCCACTTTGTCATTATGATATGGCCTTCTTTTATCCCTGGTGATATTTTTTGCTATAAAGTATACTTTGTTTTATATAATATAGTCACTTCAGTTTTCTTTTAATTAGTGTTGGCAATATGTTCTTCTTTTACTTTAAACTATTCATATCTATTAATATATTTAAAGTTGGTTTTTTATAGGCAGCAAATATTTGAGTGTTGCTTTTTATCCAGTATGATAATCTTTGCTTTTTAATTGGGGTATTTAAACTGTCTGAATTTAATGTGATTATTATGGTTTAAATCTACTATCTTGCTATTTTCTATTGTCACATACATTCTTTCTTCCCCTTTTCCTCTTTTTTTGTCTTCTTTTACGTTGAGTATTTTTATGATTTCATTTTATATCCTTTCAGCTTAGTAACTGTAACTCTTTGTTTTATAATTTTAGTGGTTGCTTTAGAGTTTATAGTGTACAACTTTAACCTATTACAGTCTAACATCAAATTGTATTATCTATTACTTTCATTTCTCCTCACAGACTTTATGATATGCTATTGTTGTCATATATTTTAATTCTACTTACACTAGACTGTTAGTATTTTTAATAGTCAATTGTCCTTAAGAGATTGAAATAACTAAAAAATTGTATATACCTAAGTAGTTGCCACGTCCAGTACTCTTTATTCCTTTTTATAAGTAATCTTTTTTTTTTTTTTTGAGACTGAGTCTCACTTTGTTGCCCAGGTTAGAGTGCCGTGGCATCAGCCTAGCTCACAGCAACCTCAAACTCCTGGGCTCAAGCGATCCTCCTGCCTCAGCCTCCCAAGTAGCTGGGACTACAGGCATGCGCCATCATGCCCAGCTAACTTTTTTTCTATATATTTTTTAGTTGTCCAGCTAATTTCTTTCTATTTTTAGTAGAGACAGGGTCTCGCTCTTGCTCAGGCTGGTCTCGAACTCCTGAGCTCAAAGGATCCTCCCACCTCGGCCTCCCAGAGTGCTAGGATTACAGGCGTGAGCCACCGCGCCTGGCCTATTGCTTTTTATAGACACATATTTTCATCTGGCATCATTTTTCTTCTGCCTGAAGAACTTTCTTGAACATTTCCTCTGCTACAGATCTGATTAATTCTTTTTCTCTGTCAATCACTGGTTTTGATCAATTTGGTCATGATTATGCCTTGGTGTGTTTTTCTTCATATTTCTTGTCCTTGAGGTTTTTTGAGTTCCTTGCGTCTGTGGGTCTATAGTTTTCATAAAGTTTGGAAAAATTTTGGCTATTATTAAGATATTTTTCCCTCTTCCCTCTGTTTCCTCCTCTTTAGGGATTTCAATCACATGTATATCGAGTTGCTTGAAGTTGTCCCGCAGTTCATTCATGATCTGTTCTTTTTATCTTTTCTTTTTTTTCTCTGTGTTTCATCTTAAGATAGTTTCTTTTTTCTCTTTTTTTTTTCCTATTTTTTTTTTTTGAGACAGATCTCATTCTGTTGCCCAAGCTGGACCGTAGTAGCTGTTCAAAGGCGTGACCGTAGAGCACTGCATCCTTGAACTCCTGGGCTCAAGTGATCCTCCTGTCTCAGCCTCCCAAGTAGCTGGGACTATAGGCATGTGTCACCATGTCAGCCCCATTTTGGACAGTTTCTGTTGCTATGTCTTCTCAAGTTCACTAATCTTTTCTTCTGCCATCTCTAATCTGTTGTTAATCCCATCCAGTAAATTTTCATCTCAGCCATGGTGGTTTTCATATCTAAATGTTTAATTCGGGTCTTTTTTATATTGTTCATATCTCTACATAACATGTTTAATCTTTAGCTTCATAAAAGTGTATTCTATGTAGTACAATTATAATAACACTTAATGTCTTTGCTATTTCTGCTATTTGTGTCAGTTTTCGGTAGGTTTTGTTAGATTGAATTTTCTCCTCATTATAGAAATACTTTCCTCCTCCTTTGAAAACATGGTAATTTTTTGTTCAGTGCCAGATATTGTGAATTTTATTTTGTTGGATACAGATCTTTTTTGTATTCCTACAAATACTTTTGAGTTTTATTCTGGGACACAGTCGAGTTACTTGGAAATAGTTCCTTTCAGGTCTTGTTTTTAAAATTTGTTAGGTTGGACCAAAGCAGTGTTGAGGGCTAATTGTACTCCACTTGTAAAGCAAGACCCTTCTCAATACTCTGCCCAATGCCCCAAGAATGTTGACATTTTTCATTCTTGACTGGTGGAAACGGGCACTATCCTCACCCTGGGTGAGCTCCAGCTCTTGTTCGAATGCTTTTTCTTGATTCCTGCCCCTGCTTCGGATAGTTCCATCACACACAGTGCACTCATGCAGTGCACACGTTCTCGAGGGACAGCCTCTGAAGATCTCTGGGGTTCTCTTTGTGAAGTTCTGTCACTCCAGTACTCTTCTTCTCTGATAACTCCAGCTGCCTTGGTCTTTCTAGACTTTTAGCTCCATATCCTCATATCAGAGAGTCCACCAGATTCCGGCTTGGTTCCCCCTGCCTGCACCAGGGCAGATCAAAAGGAGCAGATATGGGTGAGGCTAGGTTTTGGAGGCTTTTGGCTATTGTGTGGAAGTGCCCAAAAGTCCTGACTCAATACTATAAGATATGTTGAAGCTGTATTCCAGGAAGATGCAGATGACCTGAGCTAGTCTTTGCTGAATATGTTAAGCAGTGAGTGATGATCAGGGGACTTTAATTTTCTGCTTCTGGCTTGCAACCACAGCCCACAGATGATTGAGGAAGTTGTCCTTCATGACTCAAGTGTCCTCACCAGTGAATGGATTGGTTTTGATACTGATCAACTACTGACCCCTATCTACAGCCAGAGGTGGTTTCTCCAGAAAGACTCTAGGGTCACCAAGTGGCAGCATGGCACAATACAAGAAACATTTGCCCCCTGGATTCAAACTGATTTTTCTATAGAGAGGAAGAAACAGAGCCAGACCTCCATTCTCAGATGACTCAACAAGGTGTGGCTGAAGGAGAGCCGATAGGTAGCAGTCCAGGGCTTCGCTGCTTAAAGTGTGGTCCCCAGGCCGGGTGCAGTGGCTCACGCCTGTAATCCTAGCACTCTGGGAGGCCGAGGCGGGTGGATTGTTCGAGCTCAGGAGTTCAAAACCAGCCTGAGCAAGAGCCAGACCCTGTCTCTACTAAAAATAGAAAGAAATTAGTTGGACAACTAAAAATATATAGAAAAAAATTAGCCGGGCATGGTGGCGCATGCCTGTAGTCCCAGCTACTTGGGAGGCTGAGGCAGAAGGATTGCTTGAGCCCAGGAGTTTGAGGTTGCTGTGAGCTAGTCTGACGCCACGGCACTCTAGCCCAGGCAACACAGTGAGACTCTGTCTCAAAAAAAAAAGAAAAAAAAGTGTGGTCCCCAGATTAGCAGCGCTGGCATCACCAGGCAGTATCTTAGAACTGCACACTGTCAAGCCCCAGCCTCAGAATCTGCACTGTGACAAGAGCCCTAGCTGATTTGTGTACACATTAATTGAAGTTCGAGGGGCACTATTCTAAGTGTGAATGGTTACACGTGCCCTCTAGTGGCTGCCCAGCAATTTGCAGGGAATTTGACAATGTTTTCTCATTTTAGGACCTTTGCACAGAACTGCCGAAACATTGAACATTTAAATCTCAATGGGTGCACAAAAATCACTGACAGGTAAGTAATGAGGATTAATTAGTGACTAAGTGGCCATGGGGAGAGTGAGGGGAGAGAAACGTGGTTCAAAATATCTTTAGTGTGTCTGCTCTTTTGCAGCACGTGTTATAGCCTTAGCAGATTCTGTTCCAAGCTGAAACATCTGGATTTGACCTCCTGTGTGTCTATTACAAACAGCTCCTTAAAGGGGATCAGGTAAGAGTGTCTGCTGTTCATGGTCAAGGGAAATGCCCAAAGCTATGAACATTCTGGTGTATCTGAAGCCTTCCTAATGGTCACATTGGAGCAAGAAATAAGTGACTTAGATAGGTCCCAGGTCAGTCCCCCCCTGAGTTGCTTGTGACATACTAAACTCACAGTTGGTAATTAACTCTCTACAGGAGAAACTGCACACAGGTGTTTTTCTTTCTTGTTCTTTTAGTGAGGGCTGCCGAAACCTTGAGTACCTGAACCTCTCTTGGTGTGATCAGATCACTAAGGATGGCATCGAGGCTCTGGTGCGAGGTTGTCGAGGCCTGAAAGCCCTGCTCCTCAGGGGCTGTACACAGGTACCAAAGGGTTGACACAGCTGTTTACCTTATGTGTCAGGTGTGGGCATTCATCTGGGAACTTGTTGTTGCATTTTTCATGGTGTCCCACTATCCCCTTACCTGGATTCCATCCCTCTCTTATTTTCTCTGTCCACTCAGTTAGAAGATGAAGCTCTGAGACACATTCAGAATTACTGCCATGAGCTCGTGAGCCTCAACTTACAGTCCTGCTCAGTAAGTAGCGTGCCTTTCCTGAGCACCGTCCTGCTCTGTGTTCTCTCCTAGAGGGATCTGCTTGGCTGAGATGGTTGGTAAATGGCCATGTTACATGATTTTTCATCCTATGTTCTTATGTGACCTATCAATTTGTCACAAGGTGAAAGAAGAAGAACAACAAAAAGGCATCATACTTAATACAAAGCCACCGGCATCTCCCCTAAAAATAACATAGATCAGTTCCTGATTGTTTTGAATAGAGTACTGGGGAAGCTATCAGGAATGCTGTGAACTAGTCACTAACTAGTTATAAGAACGATTCATTATAAGGTCTCAATGTCTTTTTTTAGTTATTATAAACTGGGGATGATGACACCTCATGTTGACTCAGTGGGTAAAATGAAATAACAGATGTGAAAATGCTTTGAAAAATAAAGCACACATACAAGAGCAAGGTGACATTTTCATCAGGGCATTAGCTTATAAAAAACTGTTGTTGGTCCTTCTTCACTGCCATTGTAAAGGCTGATAATTGAAGAGGATGCTTATGCTTGCTGCATCTGACTGGGTTTCTCAAGGGGACATAGATTTTGAGAAAGGTAAGAGAAAGCCCTTGCATTTGGCTTTTAATAAATGAATCATAAATCTTTAGGGTATACGGTGGTGGGAGAAAAAACAGAAACTATCTTCTGGATGAATCTTGACTTTATGGGCCTGGACTATTCAAAAATAGGACCTCGACTTAGATATAGGATAGCACTGGCAGATGGCTTCAAGTATAATATAGATGTGTGTGTTTATTTCTATGTCAATTAGTATACTTAAGTGAACATATTTTGAATCTTTTTTTTTTTTTTTTGAGACAGAGTCTCACTCTATTGCCCGGGCTAGAGTGTGTGGCGTCAGCCTAGCTCACAGTGACCTCAAACTCCCGGGCTCAAGCGATCCTCCTGCCTCAGCCTCCCGAGTAGCTGGGACTATAGGCACGCACCACCATGCCTGGCTAATTTTTTCTATATATTTTTAGTTGTCTGATTAATTTCTTTCTATTTTTAATAGCGACGGGGTCTCACTCTTGCTCAGGCTGGTCTCGAACTCCTGAGCTCAAACAATCCGCCCGCCTCAGCCTCCCAGAGTGCTAGGATTACAGGTGTGAGCCACCGCGCCCGGCCTCTATGTCAGTTTTAATGACTATAGGGGGGTGGAATGTTAAACTTTACTCTCCATTAGTAATGTTAGACTATTTTAAAGCTGTATAGAGATAACAGAAGTACATACCTGCCCTCTGCTTCTCCTTATTTTATAAGAAGTTGCTAGGATAAAATGCTAGTAACCAGCAACCAAAACTAACTGAGTAACATTAGATCCCGTTTTTCTGCCACTCCTGTTTCAGTATCGATGGTGCCCTCTGATTTTTCTTTCTGTACACTTTCCCCAGCGCATCACAGATGAAGGTGTGGTGCAGATATGCAGGGGCTGCCACCGGCTGCAGGCCCTCTGCCTTTCGGGCTGCAGCAACCTCACAGATGCCTCTCTTACCGCCCTGGGTTTGAACTGCCCGAGACTGCAGTGAGTACACCATGCTTTTTGCTTTGCAGCTCAGAGCTTGGCTGCGCTGACCAAGAGGGCTTCCCGCGGAAGGGGAAAGGCTGCCAGCAGGTAGAATGGGTGGTGGTGGAGGCAGTAGTTGTGGTGTTGTCAGCTTTTGTTGGGTAAACTGGGCTGGGACAGTGTGTAAATCCAGTTCATTAATGGGTATACCAGGAGAGCATAAAATGTCTACCACCAGTGAATCCAAACCTTAATTTCTTAATGAATGTCACACATTTGCCCACCTAATTTGCCTCACCTGTTAATGCTCTGAGCATCAGAGTGATCTGATGGTGAGCAGAGGGACACCTTCGCATCCAGATGTCACCAGGTTCTCCTCTAGACCTGCTGCTAAATGGACAGAATGGGGGGAATCATAGTCGCCTTCTTTTTTGTCATCTTCCCCAGTAGGAGAAAAGGTTTTGTTTTAACATGTAATAATTTATATTCTGATTCTCAAAGTAATACATTATCATTACCAGCTGTGAACATTAAAATTTTAATAGTAGTAACAATATTAAACACTAATCATTGCTAACATCAGTGGAGCTCACACGTGTTCCTGACTCCTTTTATAAGCATTATCTCATTTTATCCCACCACATCTGTGAGGTAGGTACTACTATTCTCACCTGTTTTGCAGAGGAGAGACTGAGACTCAGAGAAAATCACACAGTTTATCCTGGGTCACCTGATGAGTAAGAGGAAAAACCAGAATTTGAACTTACAGACTTCGACTTCAGAAACAGCAGCCTTAACTAAGCCCTATATCAGAGGCAGAAAAGATACTTTTTTTTTCTTTGAGACAGAATCTCGCTCTGTCACCCTGGCTGTAGTGCAATGGCATCATCACAGCTCACAGCAACCTCAAACTCCTGGGCTCAAGCAATCCTGCTGCCTCAGCCTCCCGAGAAGCTGGGACTACAGGCATGTTCCACTACGCCCAGCTAATTTTTCTATTTTTTGTAGAGACAGGGTCATGCTGTTGTTCAGGTTGTCTCAAACTCCTGAGCCCAAGTGATGCTCCCACCTTGGCCTCCCGGGGTGCTAGGATTACAGGGGTGAGCCACCATGCCTGGCCGAGATACAATTTTTTTTTATTCTTACCAGTGAAACTGATCTATTTCCTGTGCTTACACTAGTTACATATCTTTTAAGAATTGTCTATTTCTATCTTTTGCCTGTTTTTCTTACTGTTATGTTAGAAAAGATTCTAGGTAATTTTGAGTTTTCTGCTTAGTAGAAGGAATTTGGGTGATCAAAACTGGTCAGAAGGGAGGTATAAGAGATCGTTTAACTTAAAAATGTTATTCATGCATCCATGCCTGGTAAGCATGGGTAATTGAGAATTAACTTATGTTTTTCATTGCCTAGAATTTTTAAAATTTCCTTTAGTGTAACTAGGAATTTCAATAAATGCAGTATATCTCAAGATGATTTTGTTGAGTAAAAGTTCATTTTAATTATATTTAAAAGGTCACCAAATATTAGAATAATATTTAAAAACAATATGCTATGATGGTTGGAAGATTGTGGATTTACTCTCCAAGTTTGGTATGGAACTTGGGACTTTGGGCAGGTGACATTCCTTCCTAAGCTTCATTCTCTTCATCCGTCCAGCAGGGACAGTATTTGTATTCACAAACACTAGGGCTGTTACCAGAAGCAGAAGTACATCAGAGAGCAGAATAAAGAGTGTGCTTCATAAAGTATGTGTTTCTATTATTAACTAGCTGGTACTTTGTTCTCCCTGCACACCCCTACCCAGAATTTTGGAGGCTGCACGATGCTCCCATTTGACTGATGCAGGCTTTACACTTTTAGCTCGGGTAAGACATAGATTTTTTTTTTAAAAGAACCTAAGAATTATAATTCACCTCCTGAATTCAAAGTGATTTGGAGTGGTTTTGGGATGTGTAAAAAACTGCCTTTGGAAAAGACAAGCACAAAGTAGAACAGAATCCTCAGAGTATATTTTGTAGTTTTCCCGGGTAGCCAGAAATCGGGGAGGTCCTCTAGAGGGTTCTGTTCAGGGTCTAGGCCTCACTTTCACTTGGTCAGGTGGGACCACCCTGAGAGGCGCCTCCTCCTGGCAGGAGACACCCTTCCTCACATGGACCCCAACTTGGCCTCTTAGCAGCTTCCCCTAACTAGCCTGTGCTCCACCCTTTGCTCCGTCTTCTACATTTCCCTACGGACACTGACCACTGTGGGGCCCTTCTGGACCTGCTGCCAGGAACCCATGTCCTCCTGAGGGTACCGATACATCCTCCTGCCCTACCCTGACCCCACCCCACACCCCAGTGTGGCACAGTGCCCCATCCCCATACCCTCCCAGAGCCTATCCTATGGCTAGAATTGATGTGCTGATGTTTGCGAGCCTCTGGGAATGTGTAGGCAACTCTCTTTCTAGGTTGAGAGGAGGAAATGCAGCCCAGGGCAGCCCTATTCCCATTTCCAAAGTAGGGCAGCTGCTCAGAGTGCTGGTTCACTGGGTCACTTTAGGAACAGGCACGCTCCTTAATGGAAGAGAGCAAGGACACTGGGCCCAGTACTGAGAGGGACAGGGTAAGCCACCAGTGTTGCCTTACCCACTGACCCACATTGTGGGTGTGTCTTGTGGACTCTTCCAGAATTGCCATGACCTGGAGAAGATGGATCTTGAAGAATGCATCCTGGTGAGTGGATTCCTGACAGCCCTGCAGGTCTGCCCCTCAGTCACTGCTGGGCAGCTCGACACAGCCAGAGACACAGCCTGGCTGGCATTCCACCCCTCCTTGTCCAGCCTAGGTGGCAGGGCTTGGGAACCCATGAAGGCCATGGCGGTGGATGTGTAAACTTTTGGGTGTTCTCAGTCATCAGACAAAACTATAGCAGACAAATTCAGAATAGCTCCATCTTCTGCCAAACTTTGGGGTGGGGGGAGACTCCTTTTATTTTTCACAGAACCCGAGGGAGAAATAAGTTTGCATGTCCAGTGATGGGGGTGGCTCCAGAGAGGAGAGTCCTGGGGCACCCTCCTTGCCACTCCCTGTTTGTCCGTTGCCCCCAGGTCTCCTCAGGGCACCAGAGGAGAGACCAAAGGACGGTTTGTACTCTAGGAGCGGGTAGGCTTGAGGGTGCTGGTGAAGAGAGGAGCTCCCAGCCCAAGGATGCTTGAGATGAGTTTGTAATTCTCTTTTACACCTTTTGATTCTCATGTTCAGGAGAAGCCAGGATTAGGTATTAAGTTCTGGTGTAGAAGCCACACTGACACAGCGTGTTTCTCTCCAGATAACCGACAGCACACTCATCCAGCTCTCCATTCACTGTCCTAAACTGCAAGCCTTGGTGAGTCCGAGTCTTTTGTGGCATTATTCACCTTTTAGGGATGAAAGAACCCTCCCTCACCATGGGAATCTATTTGGGTTCCCTTTCTCTAAAGGCATCATCATTCTTGGTCCCAAAGATCTATTAGTTGGGCTAACTTGGGAGGCAGAGTGTCTGAATATTACTGCTTTCATTTTACTGTGAACCTAACAGAGACCCATGTCCTTATCACTGCATTCAAGTTCACGTTCATCTTGTCAGATGGAGTGAAAGTTATTAGCATGTTAAAATGTTATAATCTAAGAAAAAAGATTGAGGCCATCCTATGTTATACGTACATTTCATATCTGCTCATATACAGGGGAAAAGGAGTGAGAATACATTGAAAGATGAAAAATGAGCAGTGAAAAGAGTCAGTGTCACTCTTATCCATGCAGACATCTCATGCACATTTCACATCCAGCTGTTCAACTGGGAGCTTGGAGCAGGGAAGGGGTCACCATCCATTGAGCCAGCCCACGTACGGGAATCTGTGCCATGCCCGCTAGATAACAGCCCTGTGACTTGGACACTGTTAATGGCACCATTTTATCAGTGAAGAAATGGTGGCTCAAAGTGGTTAAGGGACTTGGTCAAAGTTACACAGCTTCTCAGAGGCTCCAGATCTCTTGGCCTCCACCGGGTCTGGTCTTCACCCTGCACTGAGACGATGCAAGAGACTGTCCTTCAGCCAGCTTTCCCGTCTTCTTTGAAACTTGCCCTGTCCTTAGGGGCTAGAATTCTGTAACATCATTAAAGCCCCATTTGGCCTTGAATTACTCACAGTTTTTCCTTATTTTCACATTCCCTCTGGACACTTTTTCCCACAGGCACAGTGGCTGGGTTCTGTCCTGTGGGAATTTTTGAAAGAATTTTGGGTCAGATTTTAGAGATCAGTCAGGAACCTAATAGCATCTAAAGTCTCTGAGTGAAGTGTCCTCTCTACGTATTGCAGATAATTCTGTAGTTCTAATGTCTTTACCCCCAAATTGGTTCAGATGCAGTTTTATAACTGACAGAACCTGTAACCCAGATGTCCCTTCTCTTTTTATCCTCCCTACTTGTTTGTCTCCCAAGATCTTTGTCTTCTCAGAGATGTGGGGAAAGTTTGGAGCCCTGTGCTGTATTTCCGGCTGTAACCTCCTACCTCTGCTGCCCAGGGGCTATCTCTATCCCACCTCAAGACACCCTAAGCTGGAACTCCCATCCCTTCATCAGTTGCCACAAGAAATCTCCTCAGAGCTGGCACCCAGGGGCCCAAGGAGGCCTTCCCCTAGCTCCCTAACTCCTGCCCTACCTCCCACCTCCTCAGGGATGCAGGACCCCAGCAACGGTCAGGGAATCTCTTCTAAATACAGTGTTGTCCCCAGCAGGGTTTCTGGTGACTGAAAATCTGTCCTTTCTGTCCCCTGTATTCATACAGGCTACTTCCAGAAAGGGAACTTACAGAAAAAGATAAACTATGATAAAACCAGAAGTCTCAGGTAGAGCTCAAAATAAAAAACCTGAAGAAGAATTAGCAGAAAAGTAAGGAAACAATTGCAGTTGAAATCTTAACTTAGCTTTGAGATTCTAGTAGCCAAGACAGACGGGGGAATGCCATGGATGGCATCTGCTTCATGTTCATCTAATGCACTGTCTAAACATTTCTCGAAGACCACCACCTGCCAGGCACTTTTCTGGGCACTTGGAGGTAAGAAGATAATTCATCAGGAGAGACCAACTTTATCCTGACTCTGGAATTCCAGAGGAGTATGTGTTCTGGATCCTTATTTAAAGGGCACATAGGAGCACGACCTGTTTTGATAAGGGACAGTAATAGCACTTCTGTCACCCCTCAAGCAAAGCCGAGGGCAAATTAAAGTGCGTTTCTGCCGCAGTGGGCCCCACAGCACAGACGTACAGCGGCTCACGGTCTGACTTGGGATGATGGCAGCACGTGAGGATGTAAGGGCCAGCCAGCGTGGCCCGTGGCCTCTGAGTGCACCGCGTAACGAGTCCACGTCTGTTCCCTGCAGGCCTTGTGCTGGGGCAGGCGGCCCCAAAGGAGTGGCCCCGTCCCCACTCTAAGGAACCTCACGTTCTCGAGGGAGAGGCAGACAGTGTTGACCGTGGCAGACCCTCTAGGGGTCTACAGCAGGGATTCCTCCCCCAGCCTGCAGGGCTCAAAGGGGGCAATAATGTTGGGAAAACTCTACAGGCTCAGAATTTTAATATGGCTTTTATCTTTTACTAAAGATCTGCAAGCAGGAAGAAATGAGGAACGTGACCACTAACCCGAAACCAGGGGACTCTTGCACCTCAGGTCCTAAGACTGCAATTTCTCAGGTTCTCCTTTATATGCGAGCGAGGCGAGTGTGCACATGTACCCCTGTCCAGGAGTCCCTCTGTGATCCTCAAGGGAGGAAGGGCCTTGTACTCACACAAAAACAAAACTCACAGGCTTTTTGAAAGGGAACACTGATCTTGTTTATTTGAAAATAAGCCAAATATACATTTGCAAACAAGGAGAATCCCAGATGAGAAGAGTACAAAGGAGCAGGACTTGGAAGGTCTATAACGAGTCATGAAACTGGTTCAGAGGTTAAGAATTCTTCGTCACTTGAGTTCTTAGCTGACTGGATGTGTCATTGGCAGGTCCTGTTGATCATGGAGGGGCGAGTTTCCTCTTCGATACCAGAGCCAGTTTTTGTGTGTGGTTTTTTTTTTAAATCATTTTATCATGCAACTCATTGGCCCTAGAAGCATCGAAGCAGAATTTTAGCAGTGTCAGCAGTCTTATGTTAAAGAATAAGAAATACAGCCGAAAAAGATATATATTATTACTTTCTTTATTGATGTAAGATCATATTTTTCTTCTGATTTATTGGAACAGAATCATGTGTAGAAAGCCAATTCTATCAGACGTGAAATGACTCTCGCTTCGGAATGACAAGTACACAGGTTGTCTAGCTGGTAGAAAGTCTGCTCTTGGCCATACGAGAGAATCTTACTGTCAAGCCGCTGCTCACTGCTCTAGAGTAAAACAGGATGTGAGACTTGGTAATATTTAGATGAACATTTTCCAATTTAAAGTGGAAACATTAACAACTTTGAAAGTAACAATGTACACAGCGTGTATCTTGTCTGTGTCCCAGTTTCATGCCCCACTGTCTGCCCAGCACCTCCCACCTTGCCCAACTGCAAGACCAATTGAACTTAAATGGGACCCCTTGATTGCACCATCTTTTCATTGCTGACCACCCATTTGATGGCCCCTTCCCTGCTCAGCCTAAATTCTGTGGTCAGTCATTACATCTCTCCCTTGATCCTCGAGATTCACCTTCCTCACTTGGCAAAGCTGTCATGCTGTTTAAGACTCACTCTCAGCTACAGAGCTAGTCCCTGGAGCAGGAGCAAGAGTAAGGTGGAGAAGGGCCTGAGGGCATTTTACACAGTGGAAATAGCCTGTGTTCTTTACTGGATCAACAAAAGCCCTGGCTGGGTTTTAGGGTGAGGGTGGAGGAGATGCAGCTGAATGAGAGGCAGGGACCCAAGCCTCACAGGCACTGCGAAGGAGGTTTAGACCCACTGCTTTTGGCTGTCTCCAGTGGGCTTTGAAAGGCTGATAGTCTAGGCCGGGCATGCAGTGGCTCACACCTGTGATTCTAGCACTCTGGGAGGCCAAGGTGGCAGGATTGCTTGAGCTCAGGAGTTCGAGACCAGCTTGAGCAAGAGCAAAACCCTGTCTCCACTAAAAATAGAAAAGTTAACCCGGCATGGTGGTGCACACCTGCAGTCCCAGCTACTCGGGAGGCTGAGGCAGGAGGATCACCTGAGCCCAGGAGTTTGAGGTTGCAGTGAGCTATGATTATGCCATGGCACTCTAGCCTGGGCAACAGAACAGCCCCACCCTTCTACCACTGGTACAGTGTTAGAAGTGGCCTGCTAAAACAGATGGTTTAAATAAGACCTAGAGTCTCATAATACTCAAAATATCCAGAATACAATAGAAAATCATTCATCATACCAAGAACGAGAAAAATCTGAACTTGCATGAGAAAAAACAATCAACAGATACGAACACCTAGGTGATATAAATGTTAGAATCATCTGACAAGAATTTTAAAGCAGGCATCAAAAATGCTTCAACTAGCAATTATGACTACACTTGAAACAAATGAAAAATTAATGTCAGCGAAGAAATAGAAGACATAAAGAAGAACCAAATGGAAATTTAAAAACCGAAAAATATACTAGAAATTTACTTAGTGGATGGCCTCAAAGCAAAATGGAGAGGACAAAGGAAAGAGTCCATGAACTTGAATGTATAATAGAAATTTCCCAATCTGAGCAATAGGAAATATACCGAAGGAAAAAAATAAAAATAAGAAAGAGGACCAGTGCCGTAGAGACTTGCAGAACTACAACAAAAGATGTAACATTTATCTTATCAGAATCCCAGAAGGAGAAGAGAAAGAGGGTGGGGCTGACATAATGGCTCAAAGTCCCCCAAATTTGGCAAAAGACATAAACCTATAGATTGAAGAAGCTGATCCAACCCCAAATGGGAAAATCCCAAAGAAATTCACACCAAGATACATAGTAATCAAACTTCTGAAAACTAAAGACAAGGAAAAACTTCTTAAAAGCAATGAGAAACACCTATGTGGAAGGGAAAAGCAATTCAAGTAACAGCAGACTTCTCTTCAGAACCATGGAAGTCAGAAGGAAGTGGCACAACTGTTTTTAAGTGCTGAAAGAAAAATCTCAACCCAGAATGCTATATCCAGTGGAACTATCCTTCAGAAATGAAGGAGAAATCAAGACAGATGAACGAATACTAAGTAAATTTGTTCCCAACAGATCTACCCTAAAACAATGGCTAAAAGAAGTTCTTTAAAAAGGAAGGAAAAGAAGTATTGGTGAGGATGTAGAAAAATCGGAACCCTGTGTGCTGCTGGAGGGAATGTAAAATGGTACAGTCACCATAGAAAACAGTA